ACCCCCATTGGCTGGCGGAGCCGTCGCTCGCCGCGCGCGGGGGCGGGACCGCCGGGGATTGGCCCGCGCGCCCGCCGACTTTGAATGAGGGGAGGCCGGCGAGCGGCGATTGGCTGAACCGCGCCGCCTCACGGCCTCCGCGACCCCGCGTCACGTGGCAGGTGAACTCGGGACGCAGCGGAACTGAGCTCACGTCCAGCGTCAGCCAATCCGAGGTGGGGGGAAGGGAAAGAACCCGCGCTCCTCCAAGCCCGGCGACTGGGACTGGAACCAATCAGAGGTCAGAAGGCAGCCAATCAAAAACCGGCGTGATCAGGAATTCCCAACCAATCCCGGGAAGGCACGAGTTCCGGGCCGCCGCCCCACCCCCACAGAGCCTGTCAGCCTGCCAGCCCGGCAGGAAACGAAGTTCTAATTCGGTAGCCAATGAGGGGCTGTTTGGATAGGTGCTAGCCAATCAGGCCGCGTTCGGTGACGCTACGCTCAGTCATAAGCCGGGGTGTTGCCTGGCGCGTGTCTCTACATTCGGAAGCCTGGGGCTGAGTGAGTGGTAGCACGTGGGCCAGGTCCGACCCAGGAGCTGCCTTTGGCTCCCCTGCTTCAAGGGACGACCTGTCCCCAACTACGTACCCCCCCCCCCCAATTAGATAGATGGGTATAATCTATTTTATGTATTGGGAATATATATATAAAAGTTCCTCCTAAGAGCGTGGTGGCCACTAATGTGTTGAAATTTATTCCCAGATTGTAGGGGTTGTCTTTGTCTACATGGGACAGGCACAGCTTAGTTGGCTTAGCTGTGTGGTAGCAAGTCTTATGAGAAACAAGCTAATAGTTGAGGTAAGGAATGTTGCCTACCATCAATTGAAAGTGATAGGCTGTAGCGAATCCTTGTGCACTGGTGGTGTTGAGCCCTGAAGACAGGAATTGTCCAGACAAAACTAGATCTTCAGAGGTGTCAAAAACATCCCTAGACAGCTTACCAGGTGTTACATGGGTTAAACAGATACAGGACCCCTGGTACCCACATGTCAATAGGAACCATAAAAGTTGTTAAATATAGCAATGAAATCACTAAGTTGGCAACAGTGCCATGCACAACCACTCACTGACTCCATCAGCTGTGTTAGCATAAGCAGAAGTTCGCCCACACAGCAAGGTGCTATGCTAAAAGTGTCCAATTGGGCAAATTGGAATCCTGTAACTTTTGCTATGGGACAACTTATGTGGAGATAAACAGCTTTCTAATTCTCTACAGTCTCGTTCTGAAGAGAGCCTATTTATAAAACAGTTGTTTTTCCCAATGTCCCTCAAGTCATACTTTTCACCACCCTTTGGCCCCTAATTCTTCACTGAGCCAGGCCTGAAGTGACTGGTGTTTTTGTGAGAGTCCAAAACCCCATTATTATATGCCAGAAATTTTCAAAGTAACCTTGAACCAGTTTAAGATTAGGCTATTCAAAGATTTTTATAAAGTTAACAGTTACAAGAAATATTTAAGTAGAACTGGGCCTTAGCTGCACACCGGGGATGTATTGCATGAGGTGCAATAGCACCTCAGAGCCTCCGTGGCTAATGACCTACAAGGGCGAAGAGCTCCTTGTAGGCTTTTTACAAAACTGGTATATAAAAACAGACCATCCTTTTTTCCAAAGACCATAAATAAAAGTTTCCTTAAAGTTCTAGGAAATGGGAATACCTAAGACTTCTTTCCAGTTTACCAGCTGGGTCTATTCTGCACTTTGCTTCTGTCCCAACCAGAGACAGTTTGTCGGTCTGCTAACTTTGGGAAGGGCTCTAACAGAGGTGTGGTGGCACTTAGGAAAGGGAGAGTTCTGAGTCTTGACTCCTTCAGATTTTGCTTCAATATCTTTGCCTTTGCCTTTCATTCACAGTATAGATGTCAGAGATGACATGCTACTTTGCTGAAAGTTTGTCTTGATACAAAATATACAAGGCTTCATACAAGCTCTTCTTTGCAATTCTCCTTTCATTCACTAGGAGATCCCCTTGAACAGCAGTAGTGTGAGATGATCTCAAGTTTCAGTCTGTTCAGGTGCTGAAAAACTTCAGGGCCCTGGTTTTGATTTAACATGCATGTCAGGAATCATAATAAATACATACTTAGAAATATGGTTCCACTTTTTTGTCACCCTTCATTTAAAGTTCCCAAATTGCAGTATAGATATTAATTAAACCTTGTAATGCCCATGTGAGATGGATGTTTTTATATCCATTATTAAATTACCTTAACCTTAGACAGCTCTTCCAGCCTGTCTGTACCTTATTACTAAATCAGGCATCAGATCAGGCTTCAGAAGTTTTTCTTGGCAACCACGGATACTAGAAGAATAATTAGAATATTTAAAATCAGAAATGAGAAAGTAAGGTGTGTGGGTGGTAACAAATAAGCATGTCATGCCAGGTGTTATCTATTGCTTTTTACATATACTGAAAATTCCCATGGGACACAAATCAGTATCCTAGAGAGAGGCATGAAACAAAACTCACTTCATCCAAGTAGCCTTATGCTTTGAGGTGGTCAGATTGTCTTGGGCCCATCTGATGTGCAGTAACATTACTGGTGATATAAGTAGCAAAGTTTAAGAATTGCTATGGTAGGCAATGATAAATGGACTTAACTAGGAATTCAACAGGCAATGTCTCAAATGAGAACATTTAAGAACAAAGACACAACTGTGTAGCATCAGAAAATTCTGTGCCAGGGCACAGGCTTTTCACCTCTTGGGGAAACTTGAGTCATTTCAGTGATGTCTGATGCTTAGAACAGAAGACAGAATTTAGGCTATAGAAATCCTGCCTTGGTGTGGTGGCCAAAACCCGGCATGTTACCCTGTGTCTATAAGGTCCCTCTTTCCCAATATGTCCTATTTACAGCTCCCAGTCATTTGGATTATTAGGATGTAAGAATCTTTCCTATGTGGCCTGCCATGTAAAATTTCTAACTGGAAAAAATATTTCCCCAGCTCCTTTGATGTTGCTAATGAATGAGCTCTTTTTAAGTTATTCTTATGGCTGATAATTGTACAGTAGCTTCTGGGCAAAAGTATCAGTAATGTGGGCATGTAGACTGGCCACTAGCATCAAATATTCATGGAGTCACAGATGGGAGTCTACAGTGAGTTTGCACAGAAGTGGAGTCCGTCTCACTTGTTCTTTGGTGAATGTATCCAAGCATCAAAAAGAACTTGCGATTTCCTTTTTCAGCTACATTTTATTAAAATATTAAAAAAAGGAAGAAGTGCTTTTGCCAACTGGCACTTTGTGCAGAAATAAGTTAAGCAACTCAGAAAGCAAGCATCAGCCATCCCCCTCATCACACCAGACTGCAGCTGGCCTCTGAGTGGATGCACAAAGTTGGAAGAAAGTCTACAAAGAAGTTTGCCTCCTGCCCCTAAATTTTATGCTCCCAGGTCAGGGGACTGCCAGAATTAGAGCCACTACAAGCAGTGCTCCTCTAGCAGTGTTAGCTATTCCAGAAGGAACAAAGAGAAGGCAGGGCATGGCCTTTAGGCTGGCTCCACTCTGACAAGCAAAGCTGGCGGGAATTCAAAACGTATCTTCTCCCTGTGCCTGGTTGCATGGGAGGCATTTCATTCTTAAGTCCAGGACATTTTTCCTTAGGCTGGGTCTACATTGCAGACTTTGTACTAGTATAAATACATCTGTCAGGGGTGTGAAAAATTATCATGTGGTGACACATGACTGCTGGTGGAAACCGCTTTTGAGCAGTTTAGCCTGTTTTGCTCATGGGAGTGGGTTACTGTATGGTTCAAACAGTAGAGCTTCATGCTTATAAGGAGTGCTCATTCAGTATAGTGTACAAGTATTTTCATACCAGTGTGGATTTGGCCTTACTTCGGTCCCCACTTTAGGAGAATGTGTCAGTGTTTGCTGATAACTCATGCTGCAATCTTGCCTGTCTAGCTTGAATTTCTGCAAATATATAGCTTCCTCCAGCACCACTTTGTGGCTAAATACAGAATTGCAGATTCCCATAAAGTTGAATGGGGAAAGTCTGCAGTGCTGGTTGGTTTGTTCTGTCTCCTGATAGAGCCTCACTTCCTGAAAGACAGAAGATAAGGTGCCTTTCTACCTTCATGGTTACAGTCAAACACACATGAGTTATGTGGGCAAAACATCACAGAGAGACTGGTGAACAGGACTCCTGTGCTAAAGCCAACATAAAATAGGGCACAAGGCCAATGAAAGACCGTAAGATGTTGCACCTCCTTATTCATTGGGGCTTTGAAATTATTAATTGAATGGATGCCACATGGTCTTGTGAAAGAAATTCAG